GTCCTGGGGCCCGATATTTCAGTTGTTTATAAATTCGAGTCTCTTATTATGTAGGAATTTTGAATGAGCCGTTTCTCATCCCCTTCACTCTCAAATAATAAAATAAAATACAATATGAAAATAAAAATAACAATTTGAAGGCTAAGCAACTGGGCAAAACTTTAAGCCTCGTAAAATTGAAAAAGATCAAGGTTTAAAAATCGTCGATCCAGATCAAAATTTTCCGATTCAAGTAAAAAATTTATCATTATACTATTTGGTGTGCAACACACTTGGGTAACATTGAAGTACCCATTAATATTTTTCTAAAAAAAGGAAAACATCATGCATGCTTTTTCCCAAATGTGTGGCGCTTTAGTAAGTTTGTCGTAACTTTTTCACAATTATTGCTGATAAGATGAATTTGTTTTGATTTTCTTATGAGAAAATTAAGGGTTGATAATATCTCCTATATTATCCCGATAAAATGAATTTATCATGATAATATGGATATCTCTGGCATTATCTCGACAATAACCTTAGAGGATAATAATAGACACTATTTTGAAGACTGGATTTTGATATTAAAAAAAACTCAAGTAAACTATCCATTTCTAATTAGTAACATAATTACATTAAATTTTTTTCATTAGTAACAATTTTTTTTTTCATTTTATTATTTTTGAAAATTTTGAAATACTGCTTAGATTTTAAAAATTTAAAAGTAATCGTCGCTGCCTAATAAATATCTTTCAAATTTGTCATCTAAATTTTAAATTTTGAAAGAGCTTTAAAAATAGTAACTCAAATTTTTATTTGAATATTTAAAGGGTGCGATTTGTATAAGGCTGATGTTCTAGACAATCAAAGTAAAGTACGCTTTCAAATAGTATCAAAAAATGTGGTTTCAATACTGGAAATCTTTGTGATGGTATTAAAATATATTTTCATCTCTAATTATAAAAAGTTAAAGCTTCAAAAATAAGGTACATCGAGCAAAACTTTAAAAACTTGAAAATCTTAAAAATTGACAGTTAAAAAATGTATCGCATGATGTACTATTTTCAAAACTTGAAATACATTCTATATTTTGGTCATTATTATGGTTGAGATTATCAAATACTAAAATTTTGCATCGAAAATACATCTCCGAAATATATTTTACAGGAACACCACACAAGGAAAGGTGAGTGGGCCAACTCACCAAACACCTTTTCATCCGACTTTTGGAAGGAAGTAAGAACACATATACACCAGAGCACCGACCAAGTAGAATGTGTGGCACCTTTTTTTGGCATTGTCATGTCACATTACCAGTCATCATATGTCCACAAGAAATCTCTACGTTAATGTAGCCCGCATAAAAAGTTTGTTTTTTTTTTTTTCCTTTTTGGTAATTCAAGGGGACGACTTAAAAGTGTTGGTAGGGTGGTGTTAATAGTGGGAATGAAAATCACAATGTGGTGATTAAGTGTGGGGTGTTACCACTATAACCCCAACTCCAATCTCATAATAATAATAATAATAATAATAATAATAATAATAATAATAATAATAATAGTAAAAATAATAATAATAAATTCAATTAAATTTTTTTTTTATATAAAGTGTCAACCTTATACTGCATGAGTAGGTTGCACCATTAAAAACCTATTAGAGAAGAATTTTTCTATACTTGAAAACCCTCAAATTGATCATCTGGACCTCATGATTCATGGACATGAAAAAAAAAGATTTCTAACGCTAAAAATAATTCATCTTCTAATACATTATCTAGACAGTTCATTTCCAAGATTTTCAAGTATTTATCTTTACCATTTCTGCAGCTTTAAATTTATAATTGGGGACAACAATATATTTTCATATCATCACAAGGCTTTGCGGTACCGAAACTGCAATTTTGGAATAGTTTTGAGTAGAAATAAACCACACGAACCAGAAGATCTTTGTTATTGACATGTTCATTTGGATTATTTAATTATTGTTATACACATTTCTGTATGAAATAGCCGACCCTAAATAGTTGGAAAAAAACTCTGATGACAATGATGACACATTATCATGAAACAATATGAATATAAAGTTTTCACTTTACTCTAATAGAGATAAGGGAGATAATTATTATTTTAGAGCATTTAATTAATGAATTAAGAGTTGCTTATTTTAACAATTCTTTCGTATGAATCATAAATATTCAGTGATCATCACCATGTGGTTGTCAAGGAAGATAAACACCTCAAATTTTTGTAATGGCAATACATCAACGGTGTAAAACTAGGGTATGGTCCATATGTATGGATGTTAAACAATCAAGGTAAGGCACACCTTTAAATCATGCTAAAAGGTGTCATTCCGGTTACGAGGGCCTAAAAATCAGTTTTCATCTTTAATTATAAAATTTAAATCTCTAAAGTTGGTGTAGATTGAGTAGATCTATAGATCCTTAAAATTTTTGTAAGTTGATGGTGTAGATAATTTACTATGAAATGCATTAGTTTTAAGATTTGATTTTTTTTTTTTTTTTTTCTTGCATTCATACATTTTGAGATCAAGATGATATATTCTATGGCCTTTTGATTTTAGAATAACCTTTTCGGGTAGATTTCTAAGGTGTACCTTACTTCTATAGTACAAGGTGGACACCTTGCATAAACTTTTTACTTCTATAGTGCAAGCTGGACACCTTGCATAAACTTTTTCCTCAAAACAATGTGTAACCATGAGTTTGGCAAAGGGTGTGGTTTGTATAAACTTTAGTATGGAAATAAGGTGCACTATAAAAATTCACCTCAAAAGGTTGTTAAGCAGCCATAAACCTTTAAAACGGCTAAAAATTATATTTTTACCTCCATTTATGAAATTTAAAGCTCTAAATATGATTTAGATCTAGCAGATCTATATACACTTGAAAACTTTAAAATGGATGGTCGGGACAATGTTAGAAGATGTACTATTTTCAAGGATAAAAATTCATTTTTCCTTTCATATCTATATATCAATTTTTGGAATTTTTGGACATCAGAACAACCTTTGGGGTAGATTTTTTCCGGCCACATGCACCTTACTTCTAAAGTATACGGTGCACCTTTTATAGTTATTATTATTTTTAAATATACTTTGAAATTGATTCAAGAGAAAACAACGTTTGCAAAATCGGGCAGTTTAAATCGCAACTGCCTGCTTAGATAGGAACCAGTCACTGGTTGGTTTCGATTTTGGTGATCAAGTTGGATATTTAATGTTTATTTAAAAAAATATAAAATCCCAAAAAATAAGAGATTTGTTTGTAATGCGTTTTTGAATGTTTTTCATCATTTTGACAAAGATTGGAAAGTGTGTTGGCTATTAATACTTATTTTTACATTTTTTTCATCTTTTAAACTTTAAAAATACCCCTGGGTACAAATCAATTTTATAAAATCTATTCTTTTCACTAATTTTGAACTTTATTTGAATGTGTTTTATTTAATCATGCTTTAAATATACTTTTTATAATTTTTAAAATTTTTATGCATTTTATTAGCACTTTTTTGATTGGCCGAGACTTGTTTGGTTAGGCCGGTTGAACCGGCCGATTTACCAATTACTTGGTACCAACCCTTGGCTAGTTTCCGAGGCTGATTCGATTTTTCGAACATCGATAAAAAGAAACTTTTTTTTTTCTAGTTTGAAAACTCGAAAGCAAAAAAAAAAAAACCTACATTTTGTAGCGGAGGCGGGGATCAAGAGGTAGCCCGACCTATATTTCTCCTATTTTTTGAAAGGGAAAACGTTTGTATAGGGCCGAGGCTCTAAACAATCAAATTTGAGCTTATTTAAAAAATTTCACTAGAAGAGGTCATTTTGATGCTCAAATATTTTCAAATTGATCATCTCGACATCAAGAAGCATGAACATGAGAAAAAAAATAGATTTTTTTGTTTTGAAAATAACTTATTTTGTAATGCATTTGTAGACCGTCAATTTTCAAGATTTTCAAGTTTTTGGATCGACACAAATTTTGAAGCTTTAAACTTCATAAATAAATATAAAAACATATTTTAAGACTATCACAAAGATCTTCAATATTGAAGCTACATTTTTTGATACTATTTGAAGGTAGGTTCTAATTTGATTGTTTAGAGGCTAGGCTCTATACAAACGCACCCTTTTTGAAATTAAAGGTATCCGGTCTTACAAATCGTCATGACGCACAAAGAAGGGAAAGGTGTGGGGGGTGCTATTTTATACCTGTGCAGAACTAGGTACCCTTCTTCCTTAAAACTTTACACTAGGGTGCCTTCAAAAAGTAAAAAATAACTCATATTCTACCATGGTCACATAGGGCTGCTAGCGGTTCTAAATAAAAAAAGTGGGTCAGGTAAAAAATCAGTCAAATTTTGATAATTTGATCAATCACTATAATCGATTTTTGATCGGTGAAACTGATTAATAATGCTAGATAATTTGTTTTGTACGAACCAAAAAATATATATTTCATATTTTTATCCCATTCTTTTTTTTTTTTTTATAATTTTTTTTATCAAACCAGGCTAATTTTGATCCCCCAGACTTCATCGACGGCCATTCCGATTATAACAATACTAACCCCCACCATGACCAATCAAGGATAGTCCGTTTATAACAATACTATATCCCACCATGACCAATTAAGGATAGTGGCCATTAAGCATGAGTACCCCACTTTTCTGGTTGAGAGTACATGATATTTTGGCCCAAAATGAAAACCAACCTCATCTTTGGCTACAAAAGAAAATTGTTTCAAGCTGGTTGGACCTCATTTGTGCAATATGCGGTCCATAGGTATAAAGCATTTATCTTAAAAATGGATGCAAAAAAGGTGGTCTATCTAAAACGACAAACAAACTAAGGGTTCAAATGATTTCTTAACAGAATTATTGTCTCTAGTTTTCAATTTTTTTTTTTTTTTTCATATTCGTCAAAGATTATATGTTATCTAAACAATAGGATTGAATTCTATTTAAAAAATAAATTGATTAAGAGGTCATCATTTCTACATGTGTGGCCGTATGCTAACCGCCTCCTGCTATAAAACCATGGCTTTTGCTGCATTTAACTCTGTATCTCTTCTTGTTAGAGCCATGGTCCGCCTTTACTCCAACACAAACCAAGCCCACTTACCCCTTTCTTTGAGCCCAATACGGCCATGGGTTCAACCCACAATAAGCCACACATGGTTCTCGTCCCCTTCCCAGCTCAAGGCCACATAAACCCCACCATGCAACTAGCAAAACTCCTCCACTCCAAGGGCTTCTACATAACCTTTGTCAACACCGAGTACAATCAAAACCAGATTAACAAGGCCAGCAATCGATTTATCAACTAGAGCTACCGGATTTCAAGATCGAATCGATTCCCGATGGTCTTCCGCCGGAACACAGCCGGTTGCATAAGAATGTGGCTGAGTTTTGTGAGGCCATGGGAAAAAACTTGACAACCCCATTTAAGGAGCTGCTGGTTAGGCTTAATGGAAGTGAAGGGATTCCAAGGGTGAGTTATATTGTGAGTGCAGGGATGATGAGTTTCACGAGGGAGGTGGCGGAGGAGATCGGGATCCCGAGGGTCAGTTTCTGGACGTCTGGTGGGTGCGGTTACTGGGCTTTCCTTCAGATCCCGGAGCTCATAAGGCGAGGCTACACGCCATTGAAAGGTATGCTGCAGCTTCATGCGAACTTTTTAGAGAGAGAGAGAGAGAGAGGAGTTCTTCCTTTGTACCCTGTAGTTCCTGTCTTTGTCTTTGTGAGATTGTGTGTGTATGAGAGAGAGAAGACGAGAGAGAGAGAGAGGAGTTCTTCCTTTGTACTCCATAGTTCCTCGCATTTTTGTGGAACTCTGTGTCAGTGTGAGAGAGATCTTTTGGAAAGTTATATTTTCCCTTAAAAATGGAAATATCAGAGAGAATGAGAGAGAGATCCTAAGCTTATAAAGTTATTTTTCAAAAAAAAAAAACAGAAAAAAAAGGAGAAAAATCGTTACCATGCATTATGCGAGTAGGTTTATAGAAGAGTAATTTATGTACAGACACAAAAAAACAAGAAATAATAAAAAAAAAGAAAATATGAAATAGGCCAATTTTGGGTGAAAATTATGCCAAAAGTTGGTATACCATGTTTTTTTATTTCAAAAGTACCCCCTCGGCCGAAGGACGGTATCTTCGAACTGTTTTTTAATTATTAATTTTTTAAAATATTTTTGCTACTAGGGCAATGCTCTAGTGTGAGGGTCAATGCCCAATCTAGAATTGGCATATGTCCGCTTTATTTTTTAGCTAACAAATGAGCTAATGTGGTTTGAGGATGCCAACTTTGGGCCGCCCTGAAGAGCACCGGAGAAGGTGGTCTGATGATGCTAAGATCGGACTGATCGGGAACTGTTCCAAATATTAGGACTTAGCCCTACTATCGAAAAAATTTAATAAAAAATAAAACGATGCACGAATAGTATCCCTGTACCTAAGAATAATTTTAGAAAAAATAAAAAACTCATGTTGACCGATGTTCTACGTAATTCTAACTCAAAATTTACTCATTCATTATTTTAGTTTTCTTTTTTTTTTTTCCGCACTTAATTTACTCTTCATTGAAAGCTAGTGTATTCTAGTGCAAAGATTCACGTGATCACTTTCACTGAAGGGGGGCAATGGCCCCAATACCCCAGCCCAGCTTTAGAAAAACTAGGGCCTCGGCATAAAATGTGGCCTAAGGGCAAGGCCAGGGCTGGGCCTGGCCCTCATTTCTTTTTACTTCTCTTTTCTTAAATTTTTTGTAATTTTTTCTAGCTTGGGGCAGCACCACCCAACCAGAAAAGCTACAATTGGGCCAGGCCTGGCCCTCTTTGACCCCGTCAGGGCAAGCATAGACCCCGCCCAGACCCAGCCTGTTGCCAACCCTATGTCACTCTCTTAACTACCCTCCACCTGTCTCTCTGTAGAAGAGGGCTATCACTGCTGGACCTTAAAATCTATCACATTCTTCGGCATTCGTGGTCCTTCACCTTGCCACGCGCTTTCATGCGTCGGCAAACAAAGGAGAAGGAGCAGTGTCTACTTCACTACACGCCAATAACGCCTTGTCAAGACCTCCACTCTCTTTTTCTTTCATTCTTTTTAAAGTCAGATTTTGATAACAACACCTTTGGTTCGTCTGAAAATGTTTTCTAAAAAAAATATTTTAATGTGGAAAAAATTCTCTCGTACGGTCTAGGAATATCTTCATATTAATTGGTCTTAATGTATCTTTTCACACCAATGGACCATATGGAAGAATTGTTTAATGTGAAAATAGAAAACATTTTCACACGAACTAAACGTGCCGTTGAGTGAAGGAAACCCACACACAAGTGCTATCAAATGAGGCACAAATACTTACATGGACATGTGTCAATCTGTTCTTTAGCATGTTTAGAGATGCACTTTACGCCTATAAATACTTTTCGATCTCAAATTTTGGCTTCTACCGCTCATAAACTAATCTCAATAATGTTTTTTTTATTTTTTAAAATAAACTCTCTAATATTGAAAAAAATATTGCTTCAAGATTGAATAATGATTATCCAATTATTGAAGAGCGAGATTTGAGTGTCACACATTGCAAAATTCAAATTTTTTCTTTTTGAAAATAATCATCTAGTAGTTCTTATATGGTTCCCAAAATGTAGACTTAAACAATCTTTCTAAACATATATTTTGCACGAATGAGTAGATGCTTAGTATGCTCTTGTGGGTACATAATATATGAGCTCTTTATCTTAAGGGTGCATATATTACGCTCCCATTGGAGCACATACTGCGCATCTACTCCCTCAATCAAAAGCCCTATTTGGGAGGATTTTCTTGGTCTGAAGTTTTAGGAACCACCTAATAGTCGCTAGACATTTATTTTAAAGTTTTGAGTTTTCATAACTTAGATCTTGCCCTTTAAAATTTGGACGGTCTTTATTCAATCTTGAGATATTTTTTTTTAGTATATAGAAAGTTCAATTCAGTTTTTATTTATTTATTTATTTTTATTTACTGAGGTTAGTCTATGGGTTGAAGATGTTATATCTCTGAAATTTGAAGTCCTAAAATTACTCCTTTATTGATTTTATCCGAGAGAGTAAATGGATAGTGTATTCCTGCAGGAGTTAAAATATTTTAGATTTGGATGTGGTTTATAAAGATTGTCGCTCTATTTTAGTTGAATGGTGTAGATCTGACACATCTTTTAAAACCATGCTAAAAGTAGTACATCTATTAGATAGTGTCAATTGTTCAACATGCAAATAAAATGAACATTGTAGATTACTGCAACCTTACTAACCTTATAAACTTTTTTTTTCCTAAACTTTCAATACTTCAACTATTCTTTTTTTTTTTTCCTTCCTCCAAATATTTGAAATGTTAATTTTCAGATTTATAGAGCTAACACTTATATGTCAAAATCGTGATACTATGTGCATCATTATAATATCGATGGAGAGGTAGTGGGTGGCTTCATGGTTATTAATATGGGATTGTCTACAAAGAGACTATTTATCTTTTGTATATGGAGTTTACAATTATTCCCACAAATTATATGTCAAATTGGATTGTTTGGGGTAAATCACGATGTTCGATAAATTATTTTTTAGAACTTTGTGTCTATTCAATAATACTATTACAAACACCCATTTTGAAATTTAAGAGACAAAAATGAATACGACCTCCATATACAAAAAATAAATGGTTTCTTTGTAGACAATCCTTAGTAATATAACACAACCTTATAATGGTCAAGCGTAAATGGTAGATATTGTCGGGAGTGAATGAAAGTAAATGGTAGATATACGTCTATGCGTTAGTTGAATGACGGTTAATTTGATGGAGTAGACCATCTATCTAAAATTAACATACTTCATAATATTATTTTATGAAAAATGTTTATATAAGGGTGGGACCCTAAACAATCAAATTACGCCACACCTTAAAAATTCACCAGAAGAGGTTGTTTCGGTGCCCAAATATCCTCAAATCGATCATCTCGATCTTAAGATGTATGGAGATGAGAAAAAATTGATTTTAAGTATTGGAAATAGTTCATATTGTAATGCATTTTGTGGACCGTCAATTTTCAAGATTATCAAGTATTTATAGATCTGCTCGATCTACAATATTTTTGAAGCCTTAAACTTTATACTTAGATATGAAAATAAAATTTCAAAGTATCACAAATATTTTCATTACAGAAATGACATCTTTTCACACTATTTGAAGGTGCACCTTACTTTGATTGTTTAGGGCCTCAGCCTTATATAAACCACACCTTTATTTATTATACGTTTGGTACATGCCTTATATGATATGTAATATTATGTAATCATTTAACTTTTTCAGTGATTTTAAGCTATTTTAGTTGTTTCGGCTAAAAAGCAGCTGATATTTAGTAAATTACTTTTATTAAAGTAAAACAATTTTTTAAAAAACAAACTTATATATAAAATTACATATATATTTCGAAAGATACTGCCAAATAATAAACAATTAATTATCGTAATTAATTTTGATGAAACAATGAATTATATGTGGTAACGGGTACGGCCAAACACTACAAATTAAAGAGGCATATTGGGTGTGCAGCTGATTAGTAGTCTATTTAAACCTCAACCAGGATTCCAAAGTTACTAAAAAGGTTGATTTAGTCAAGAATCAAGATGGCTTAAACTCTCATCTTTGTAAAATTGCTGGTTTAGTGGTGGATTTTGGGTCCCTTCCCATTGTATTTTGCTTCTATGATGGTAAGTAGGGGCTTTTAGAGTCCTTAGGCCTTGAGTTAGGCGATGGCTTCTAACCGTTCCCCTTCTTTATTTTAAAATATTCCAAAATATTTTATGCTCTCGAGGGAGCATACTATCCATTTACTCCATCGGGCAAAATCCAATCTAGGAGTATTTTTAGCTCACAAAATTTTAGGGACGTAACATTTTCAACTCATATCCTACATTTCACAATATAAATTCCCAAATCAGATTTTCTCAATTGGCTTGAAAAAACAAAATCTCATGATTGAATGGAAACAGTTCAATTTTTTCTCTTTTAAATGTAATCATTTGGTTATTTTTAAGTGGTTCTCAAAGTTTCGAATCTAAACAATCTTTCTAGGTTAGTCTTCCGCTCGAAGGAGTAAGTGTACAATATGCTTCAGCGGGAGCATGCTATGCACACTTTTAAAATATTTTTATGATGGGAAAAGTACAACATAAAAGGTATTTGCTGCTTAATAATAAATTTGAAAAATAGTAAAAGAGAAAAAATATTGTCCTAATTATATCCTAGAGATTTTATAGTAGAATATACTCTAGTATTCTTTTACATGCAATTTTTCCTTTTTGTTTTAGTTAATTTTCTTTTAGTTTTATAAATTATATTTTTATTTTGTGAATGTGCCCGTCTTGTACAAAAAATAAATGGTCTTCGTGTTTAAATTCAAGTATAAATTTAAGTTTCAAAAATCTTGAACTTAAAAGGGAAATTATACCGCATTACGTATTTTCGTCACATTTTAATCAAGGATGAGGTTTCTATAAGGCCTTGACTTTATGAAAACAAAATAAAGCCTCATCTCAAATCCTGATCTGGAAAGCACTTTTGGTGAAGGAAATCTTCAAGATGACTCTAAAATCAATTTTCAATACCAACAATAATATTTGAAACTAAAAAATTGGTACAAGTCTTGCGGATATCTGAACACTTATTTTTAAGGTGAAATGGACAGTCTAGATAATTTGTTATAATTACACTATTTTAAAAGCTTAAAATACTAGTTTTTTTTCATAACCATAATGTTCAAGTCGAGATGATCAATATGTAAAGGTTTTCCAATGCTTAAAATTTTGTATGAATTTGGGTGGGGCTTTGCTTACTTTAACAAGGTTGAAGCCCTATCAAGCCATTTTTCTTTAATCGATGCATTGTAGTGACAGAAGGAGATTGTGAGGCAGGACATAATCAATGACATGTTTGGGCCCCTACTGGCCTAAGAGGAAGAGATGGTGTTGATCCCCGTGAATACGTTTGTTTTAGGGAATGTATGCAATAAAATTGTGGACTTTTGGTACAAGAAAATTATAATAATTTTTAGTGGTTAGATGTGAATTCAGTAGTTCGTGCTGTACATCATTTGAGTATTTCTTTTTAGAAATTTGTGCAGAAAAATAGCATACCATCAACCTCCCGATTTTACGTATAAAGGTTAGGGGTGATTGTGATCGTCTTGTATTAATGATAAATGGTCTTATAGTATTATATAATCCCATTGTTTTAATTGTAGTTCCAGATTAGGATCATTCACTCGTGTAAAGTAAAATCTCTACCATCCGTTCTTGAGAATGGACAGTGGATTCTCTAGCTCTTTATCACATCATTCATGGGCTGCTTATTGCATACTCTCTAATGGCTTATGAGGTCCAAGATCATCACTACCAATTTGAATTTGTGATTATATGCAACTTTAGATATGGCTTGCTTGGCTGAGGGGTATCTTGACACTACTCTCGATTGGATACCGGGAATGCCGAACATTCTTCTCAAGGACATGCCTTCTTTTATCCGAACCACTGATCCAAACTTTTTCCTCCTCAATTACATCAAAGATGAAGTTCAACATGCATTCAATGCTTCAGCTCTCATTCTCAACACCTTTGATGATTTGGAGAAAGATGTTCTTAATGCGATAAAAGAAAGAATCCCTTGCCCTCTCTACACATTAGGCCCTCTGCTCACCTTCAGTCACGATGTGACCAAAGAAGAAGTAAAGCCTATTTCGACGAGTCTGTGGAAAGAAGAGAGTGAATGCTTGGACTGGCTTGACAGCCACCAGCCTCGATCGGTCATATATGTGAACTTTGGAAGTATCACAGTATTGACTCCTCATCAGCTCAATGAATTTGCTTGGGGGCTGGCTAATAGTGAGAAGCCCTTCATATGGATCATTCGCCAGGGCCTTGTACAGGGTGAATCCACAACCTTGAGCCATGATTTCTATGATAAAACCAAGGGTAGAGGACTCATAGCTAGTTGGTGCAACCAAAAGAAGGTGCTCTCACATAGTTCAATTGGTGGCTTCCTCACTCATAGTGGATGGAACTCTATACTGGAGAGCATATGCAGTGGAGTGCCTGTTCTATGTTGGCCCTTCTTTGCAGAGCAACAAACCAACTGCCGATTCGCTTGCGTAGAGTGGGGGATCGGAATGGAGATCGGCGATGATGTGAAAAGACAGAAGGTGGAGACTCAAGTGAAGGAAATGATTGAAGGACTTAAGGGGATGAAGATGAGGGCCAATGCAATGAAGTGGAAAGAAAGTTCAGAAAGAGCAATTGGAAGTGGAGGCTCTTCTTCTGAGAATTTGGATCGGTTGGTTGTGGAAGTTTTGCTCAAGAAACATGGGGAGTAACTAGAAGTTGCTCCCTACTCATATTAATTAATCTATTGTGAGTGATTTGAATGCCTACATATATTAATGTGGTTAGTATTTCAGGTTTCTATATCGCATGACTATGATGAACCATTGACTTTTTTTTTTTTTTTTGGGGTTGACATGTTTCTACCCATTTTTGAAATAGTTCATGGTTTTTTAAACTGTCAATAAGAATGTCAATAAGAATAGAAGCCACAACATGCAACTGAGACATATGGTAAAGTTTCCATCGGTACCTAATTATCAATAAAAAATTGCCATATCAACAAGGATAAAAAGAAACTCCAGACTTGCCATTATTTTTAGGAAAATATCGATAAACTGGTAAAACCACCTTAATAAAAATGAGATGGTTAAATCAAGTATTTACTAACAAAGCGGTTACTTTTTAAAGATCATTTCAGTTAGATAACTCCTCAACCGCGGTTTCAAAACTTGCCATGCCAACTCGGAAGTCAGAACTCACTAAGTTCAGCTTGGGCCTAGAGGTTACTGCATCGGGTCTACAACTACTGCCAATCAGGCTGGGTCCTTTTTCCTTTTTTTTTTCATTTTTTAGGTGGGGAAAAGGTAAAAGAAAGTGTTATTATTTTGTTTTATTTGTTCAACCAATAATCCATTCAACCCCAATAGCCACTCAATGTTACACAACAATTTATTTCTAATTTTCTTCTTGTTCTTCTTCTTTACAAATGGGCTAGCAAAGTTTTTTGAATAGGAAACAATTTATTTCTAATTTTAGCGAAGTTTTTAGAATCGGAAACAATTTATTTCTAATTTTGATTTGCTTCTTCTTCCTCCTCCTCCTTTTTCTTCTTCTTCTTTACAACAAATGGGCTAGCAAAGTTTTTTGAATCGAAACAATTTATTTCTAATTTTGATTTGCTTCTTCTTCTTCCTTTTCTTCGGCTAGCGATGGGCTAGCGAAGTTTTTTGAATCGAAACAATTTATTTCTAAATTTGATTTGCTTCGTCTAATAAAAACAAGTTTTCTAATAAAAACACATTTATGGGGTTGTAAGCACAAAGATTGCAGGACATTTATTAGGGTTTTTTCTAATAAAAAACAATTTATGGGTTTGTAAGCACAAACATGCAGGACATTTATTAGGTGTCCTAATGGATCGGATTGGAGCCCGAAGACCCGAGGGGGGGGAAATTATTTTATATGTTTAGTATAGTTTTTATATATTTTATTCTGAATCAGGTATGATTTGATTAGAGTTAAATTACCAAAATACCTCCAATTGTTCCTCCTCAACTAATTTTGGTAGGAGAGGATAAGGTTTTACAAAAGACCACTAGAAATTGTATTTGTCAATTCATGGTAGCTTTGATTCCATGTCCAAAATATTGAAGAATCATGTAAAGGATCTGAAACCAAGAAAGATATTTAGGTTGTATGGCTAATAGTATTTCTAGGCTACAAGACCTGGCCAATTTGAGAATTTTTAATAAATTCTTAAGAAGATATCTTAATGAAATAATTTGTAAACAAAATATACTTACATGGTAAAATTGTTGATTTAACTATCTCATTAATTTTTGAGTCGATTTAACTATTTCAATGATATATTTTCCCCTTAATTTCCTATTGGCAAAATTGTTGATTTAACTACCTCATTGTTTTTTGAGGCAGTTTAACTATTTTAGTGATAAATTTTTCCCTTTCGCTCTTTTTTCTTTTATTTTATTTTCGCTTTTCCCTCTTCGATAGCCGGTGATATAGACTAATTGTGAATTGGAACTCGACATTGTGCTAAAGTCCTTATGCTCTAATTACTAGGCTATTGGGTTTGAGGCTAAAGCCCTCTTGCAACAATGCGGATGCAGACGGCGGAACTTTGAGATAAAATATTAAATACTTCGCATCTGAAAAGAGGCCAAAGGTTAATCTTGCTAATGTAACTTTAAGATGATCTGTGGTGATAGCTGTTGGTTTGGAATTACAAGTCACAGAGGGGGATTTACATGATGCAATTTTTAGTTGTTCTGGGTCCTGATGGTTTCTCATTTTTTTTCTTTCAAAGATTTCAAAATACCCTAAAGAATGATATTGTGCTAATGGTGGAGTTATGTGATAGAGGGTTTCTAAATAATGAAATTAATTAGACTTACACAGTCTTAATGCCTAAAAGAGATTAATTTTTTGTCTCGGGGTTATCCGGCCTATTAGTTTGCTCACAAATGTCTATAATATCATTTCTAGTAGTTTTTTTGAAGGAAGCTAAGTAATGTAAAACTTTTGGATGTGGAAGGCCCCTAATCTACTTCCGTTCATGGAAGACTCGTAAATAATAGTGCTATTGTAGCTCAAGAATCTGTATATTCAAGGAGCTTAGTGAATCGACTAGTGACTATATATAAGTTGGATTTGGAGACTTATATAAATAATATTATTTCTAATACTTTTTTATTGTTATATTGGTATGGCTCAAAAATAAGTCGTTATTATCTGGAAGGACGCATTCACAATTTTTTTTTATTATGTTTTATCAAATTTGCCCTTGGTATGATGTTTCATCACTTTATTTACCCCTCATTCTTGTTATTTTTATTATTGTTATTAATCGAATGCTTAAGCCACATCTTATAAAGTTCTTCCAATTGATTGAAATAGAGGCACGTCTTTGCATATTCTTATCGCTCTTTTTCAACTTCTTAAAATACTTATTTATAATATTCTCCCACTTGTCTTTGCACCTCTCTGCACTCCTACTGGAACCCGGCTGAGCCATTCCAGCGGATACATCTTCCCACATTACTCCCTTTGGCCTTGTCTCTTTGTATCTTCGCCCACTTTTTTTTAAATCTTAAGAGAGAAATTACAAAAATTATAGCGAAAGAATAGGTAGCCATTGAATGCAGGAGAGGAAAAAGTGAAACCAACACAAATTGAAGAGAGAGAATAGAGATTTAAGAGCAGATGTGGAGTTTCGAGTCCAGAGAATCAGCACGCGATATGGATTTGGTGAGGGGGGGTTGGCGTCGGAGAGAGAAAGAGGGTTTAGAGAGAGAAGGGAGGGGACCGTAATTTTGAGTCGGTCTGAAAGGGAGAGAGAGAGGATTGAGAGCAGGCGAGGTAGAAGAGATAGAAAGAAGAGAGCAAATTTCCCATGTTTTTGGTAGGATGTTGAGAAATGTGGAACAAGTTGGTGTTTTCAGGGGTTTTAAAGTATCAAATGAGGCTCCCATTATCTTCTATTTACAATATGTTGATGACATTTTCAAAGTTTATTATATTAAGGATGAGCTCCGGAGGTTTTTAACGGGTTTAGTAGTAGTTATTGAATTTAATCTCAAATTTCCTAAAGCTTTTTCATTGGGCATTGTGATTTTGGATTGTACGGATGATAAGTTCCTTCTAAAATACTTAGGAATGCCAATATTAGTAGGGATTTGGCGTCAATACCTATTTAAGATCTAATTCTTCAAAGATGTATCCTATGTATCCTTTCTTTGTAAATTCCCCTTTCCACCCATTAAAAAAGTTTTTGGGTTGTAATGATATAAAAAGATTTTTTAGGTTAATTTTTATGATCAAACGTCAATAAAAGAGGGAGATAAGCGCTGTGGGGGTATGGTAAAATCCTTAAGGGTTTCTTTATGCCGCTTGAAAAAAAAACGGAAGGAGGTTTTACCATAAAATAATATGAAAAATTAGGATTCTATATGAAATTTTTCTTAAAATAAATTTCATTTGTTCAATTGGAATAAGATATGCAATACTAAGGTCAAAAGGGGGTTTGGGAAATTGAAGTGTTGGACATCATGGGCGTCCCTACAAAGCAGAAATGATTACAAATAAAAAATAAAACATTAAACAAGGATTAGATGGAGGTAACTTTAACTTTCAAGATCTAATATCCATACTTAGCTCTATTTGTTCCTTTTTGCGTATTAAGAGTTTGATACTGCCTCTTTAGGTCGCTCTCTTTTGATTACAAGAACCATGAAGAGGGTTCCAAAGGTAATGAATAAGGCGCTCATGACAAAATGGTCATAGAGAAGTACACAAGATCATGATCAGCTATGAAGGAGTACATTGGTAACTAAATGCTAATGAGGCGAAAATTATTGCACTCTTAGTTGGGCTTAGATTTGTAGCTAATGAGCATTTGGGGTTAGTAGTTTTGCGCATGAGGATTCTATCAATACTATAAAGTGGTGTAGTTTGCAACAAAGTGTGCCATGGAAGTTGAAGTCTCTATGGCACAAATTATAAACAGTGATAAATTGGAGTCATCCTTTGTGCGTGTTTATAGAGAACTTAATGGCGAGGCATATCTATTAGTCATAAGATAACATAGATTTAGGATTAGTAGAAATATACAGTAAAAGTTTTACGCTGGTTGTCCACCTATTACAACCCTCCTTCTTTATTTGGGCTTAGGTTCGACAGTGACTGGTAGGGGCTGGCTAAGGCGGAGTTAAAAGACAACTAACTTTTTTTTAGTACAAATTTTTGTCTATGCAATAACTTTTTTTTTTTAAGAAAGTTGTGTATGCAATAACATCTATATTGTTCAATTTGAGGTGGAATGTATCATGTTAAACAACTCCAAATTGTACCTTTTAAGTTGAAATCAAGGGTAATCTCGTGATTTTCTAAATAATTGTGTGCATGAGAGGTATTCTATTAGTTCTAAGTAATTGTGTGGACGATTATAAGTCCAAATTTGTGGCTAACGATGTAATTATGCAGAAACTTCGCACACATTCACAAAAAATGATTTTATTTAGGTTTTATAAGTTGAAAATTCATGCTTGCATGATAATTGTTTTTGCATGTGTCTTTTCAAACTTGGAATGGGATTTTGGATTCCCTACCGACCGCGTAGATTCAGATCAGCTAATCAGCTATCCAGACCAGTCAAATTGGTGGAAAATTGGTTTAAAAATAATAAAAATATAAAATTGGGGAGATTCATTGGGGAGAGACTTGGATCACCCACCCATTAAATCTGATCCAAATTAGCAATCCCCAATCCAAATTCCCAGATTTTAGAACCCTCAATAATTTGCATAATTCACAGAGGTTCATTTTTATAAGCTGGATATGCATGATATCCTCACTATATTATATAATTTGTAAGATTGATTCCATAAGATTTCTATATAATTTTTAACCGAGATTTCATAACATGTCAAAAGCATGTGGGAGAATGTTCACATGAACTGCTGGTCCATCAGAACAGCATCATCTCGTTGGTTCAGTTGCCATAATGGAGCATGTTTCTCACTTGACAAACGGCTTCTTATTTGGGCACGTACTTGGTGGTCGTCCGAGACCACCTTTTACCTATTGTTGCATGCCCAAAGAAATTGTATGGATTTTTTTTTTTTAATCTCATAAGTCATTTTCGCTTAAAATAGTCTCTGATTCACTTTACCAATAATTCAAGGAAGACAAATACAATACTTTGATCTCTTAGAACCCTAGATCTAATCCTCAGTCCATTGGACAAACTAAATCGTTGAAGGGGAATTGATTTAGAGTATGCTAGCCATTGACCGTGAATTTTGAAGTAATTTTGTAGTTCATGTCGGAAGGACAATTACGGATCAGGATTCATGTAGCTAACCCCAATTGGTTGGGAAAAAGATTTGACGATGATGATGATTCACAATTTTACAGATAATACATATTTGATGATCTATGGTGAATTAAAATCAATGGTCATAAAAAAAAGGTTTAAAATTGTTTATCTCTAAGGTTTGAAAGGCATTTATTTTGATTCATTTTCGTGATTGTTGAGATTATTGACATCTAAAATTTCATGGGCTTAGAGTGATTGGAAATTTATTTGGGTGAGTTTCTCGAGGCAAGTTTCAACCATTCCCAGTCTTCTTATTATTGGTATAGCATTATGCAGGCACTTTCTTCCCCCATTGTTATCAAATAGAAAATTGTTATATGCGTCCGGGATCACAGAACTACGTTTGTGTCCCTTGAGACATCGTACATCTATGGTCCTCTAAAATAAGCTAAAAAACAGTAGTCTCACAATATTTTTTTAATTTTTATTTATTCTTACATTAATGAATTTCATAAGTATTTGACCAAATAGGATCATCTAGTTCCTATAGAACCTATCACTAAAGGAAAATGTTTATATAATGATGCTACTTTATAGTGTAGAACTATGAATGCCCCTCAAAAATCCACCGGAAAAAGCAGTTTTAATGTTGAAAAACCCTTTGATTGATCATCTTGATATCGAGATACATGACTATGAAAAATAAAAAGATTTTAAGTCTCAGGTATAGTGCATTTTACAACATATTATCTACACCATCTATTTTCAAGATTTTCATATGTTTATAGATCTACTTGATTTTAGCCATTTTTTAAATTTTAAATTTAAAATTGGATATAAAAATAGATTTTGAGATAATCCTAAGAACATTTACATCAAAATTATATACCATATTAAAATTTGAAGGTGCACCTTACCTCTACACCTACAGATGCATCCGTATGGAAACTGCACCCATCATTAAAATACCTACAAGGGGATAGGCCTAAGCGGAGCTGAAGAGTTTTCTATGAGATGATAAGTGAGAACTATTAGCCCCACACAAGGTTTGCGAATAAATAATGTCTTGTAATGAACAATGAATATTCGTCTTTTGCCAAACATGATTTATTGGATTCATAATTCACTAGATGCTTTTTATAAATGTAAACTAATTATCATAAGTAAATTCACCTTGGTTGTCCAATCATTCGATAAAGAGTAACTCTTTGATAAATGATCGCTATGAGTTAGATTCCATAGAATTTGATCAATCTTTTTTTTTTGCGTCAAGTGGAGAATTGAGCCAAAAATTCTTTCTTTATCATCAATCAAATCACTATTCACGACCCAGGTTCCATCAATCCAATCACTATTCAGTTAGAGATTATATGGCTAAAAAATTAAGCCCAAATTTCACCACAAAAATAGATCATGAAGAAGTGCCGCATATCTACATATGAATCCTAGGACTCATAAAAATTGTTTCATTATTAAATAGCCACCGTAAGTTTCCAGCACAAATGGGGATTAAATTAATTTAGAACAACCAATCTTTGAGGGGAAACTGATTGGAAGCATTTATTGTTGGAGTTTACATCCCATCCTTCGAGCAAGTCTTCCTAATGCTATCATAAACTTAAAGAAATAATTGTGTTTTTTTTTTTCTTACTCGAGCTATTATCAAAGGGAAAAGTTTATGTAAAGCTATAAACTTATGTTGTAGAAGTAAAGTGCTCCTCAAAAATTACAGTAGAAAATAGTGCTCTGAAGTTAGAAAACCTAATATTGTTATTTATGAAGAAAAACAAAATTTTAAGTCTAAACAATAATGTATCTTGTATCAAGTTATCTTGATTGTTTATTTTCAAGATTTTTAAATACTTATGGATTATGTACCATTTTTAGAATTTTTAATTTTATAACTAGGAATGCAAATTTTGGAGCCATCTCACAAGTTTCTGATACTAAAATTATATCTCCAAATAAAATAGAGAAGTACGCCATACCTTGCTTTTTTTTTTACCACATAAGAAGGCAACTTAGGTAAGGGTGCGGTTTTTATAGAGCCTAGGCTCTAAACAATCAAATTAGAGCCTACCTTCAAATAGTGTCGAGAAATATGGTTTCATATTGGAAATCTTTGTGATAGCCTTAAAATATATTTTCATATTTATTTATAAAGTTTAAAGCTTCAAAAATAATGTAGATCGGGAGATCTATGAAAACTTGAAAGTCTTGAAAATACATTATTTCCAAAAACTTGAATTGACAGTGGACCTTGTAGTAGCGGTGGAATGGCAGAGCACCAAATCCTTTTCCTTCTTTCCGAATTTCTCTGCTCCTTACTTTTTACTTTTTTTTAAATGAAAATTCGCGGCAAGTCCGGTGGCCCTTTCCATGTGATGAGCCAACGGCCACTCTCTCTCTAAAACTCCCAACTCTCTCTCTCTCTCTCTCTCAAACTCCCATCCAGTTGCAGAGCCTTGAGAATTCTTTTTGGGGGATTCTTATCTGCTTCTTCTGGTTTTGAGCTTGTATTGTTAAATCCTGCTGATCTTGTTTCTCCTATTTCAAGCTTGGCATTCCTGAGTTTCTCCCCATCCAGCCATAAATGCCGCCATTTAAGGCTCAGATCTTGTTTAATGGTGGAAATGCAGATTACGTAGATAATTTGAACAAATTTTGAGGTTTAATTTAGAAATTCATGTCAATTTACAATTGAATTGGTGATTTGTGGAGTACCTTCTTGAGCTGACATTGAATAGCTAATTAGAAGCTTTGGTATTGAAATTTGGGTCATCCTGATACGTAATTACCGTTTTATTCACCGAAATTGGAAATTTTTTGGAGATTTGGAGATACATTGTTCTTGATCAATTTGCATTTCAGAGATTCAAGATTTCTTTTTGAATATATCTTGTTATTTAAGTGAAGTTTAGGGTTCAGATTTCTAGGATTGGCTTCTTCAGGACTTGAAAATTTCTCTTGCATTGCGATCTTACTAATTTTGATTGAGATTTCGAGCGTGGGTCTTTTAGATCTTTACAGTTTTAGGATTACCTTTTGGTTCCAAAATGGCAACAATGGAGAGTTTGATTGGGCTGGTGAATAGGATTCAAAGGGCCTGCACTGTGTTAGGTGATCATGGGGGTGAAGGATCCACTCTCCCTACTCTCTGGGAAGCCCTTCCTTCTGTTGCTGTGGTTGGAGGCCAGGTGATTAATAGTTAAACTTTCGTACAATTGTTTCTTCACCATTACCATATAATTCTTTGATGGATCTCTGGTTCGTAGAGTTTCATTTATTATCTTTTCTGAAGGCCTGTATTTTGATTGTAGATTATGAGTTAGGAAGAACCTATCTAAATAATGCTACATTTTCCGCATCTGTTCCCGGCCTTTTATTGGCGTATTTTATTTTGTTTGCTTTTGATGGGTTTTGATTGTAAATATTGTTTTGGTGTTTAGATTGTCATTATGGATGCTTTGTTTTGAAGCTTTGATTTTTTTTGTTTCCAGAGCTCGGGAAAATCGTCAGTTTTGGAAAGCATTGTTGGAAGGGATTTCCTTCCTCGTGGATCTGGTAATTTTGGATTGATATAATTGTTGACAAGTGCGGTTGCAATCTTGAGCCATAAATTACAAATCTAAAATTCGTGCCACTTTTTCTTATTTTTTTAAAAAATTCAGGTATTGTTACTAGGAGGCCTTTGGTGTTGCAGCTTCATAAGACAGACGACGGGCAGCAAGAGTATGCGGAGTTTCTTCATGCCCCAAATAAAAGATATACAGATTTTGGTATATATAACCCCAAAAATATCTCTCTCTTCATGTTATTTCCTTTTCATTTATTCATTCTATTTAAATTATTCATGTTATTTCCTTTTCATTTATTCATTCTATTTAAATTACTCACTTGGGGTGTGTACATTTGAGTGATATTTATGTTCTTTCCATTCATGACATGAAGTTCAATATTGACATAGTTTCTATTGATAGAACTGATATCATTGTTGTAAGTTCAAGGTCTTACTCTTATTTTTTGCAAAAAAGAGTGACAGGTCAGTTCTTTTTTTTTCATTCATTGTGCCTGCATGTGCAGCTGCTGTGCGAAAGGAGATTCAGGATGAAACTGATCGAATAACTGGGCGGACAAAACACATCTCCAACATTCCAATTCAGCTTAGCATTTACTCTCCAAATGGTATGCCGTACTTATGTGTTTCACTTTTGCTCGTAAGATTTACTTCAATAGCCGAAATATGTTTCTTTAAACTGAACTACATGAGTGACTTATTAAGCTCTAGTAGTTTTGTAGAGTCATAAATTTGAAAGTTGTTTGTGGTTTTCTGCATTTTTCATTTGAACTCATTGAAATTTTAAATGGTGAATTTATTGGTCACTGTGTTGCAAAGAATTTTGACAGGCATGTAAATATAATTTCTGCCATACCCAAATAAAATGGGACACAGTGCACTGGAGTCCTGCTGAACACTTGAGATATGTGGTAATGAGGCTCATCACCGTCCAATCAATGTTTTGGACAGTGATGGAGAGAGTGGGGGCCATCATCCAAGTCATGTCATGTTAGGTGGGTTCCATCCTCTCTCCATTGTATCCAACACAGTGATTGGATGTTGATGGAGCGTAGTGGACCTACCATCCAAGCCATGTCATGTTCAAGTGTGTCCTACTCACTCTCTGTTGACTCCAATCCTTTGATTGGATGGCAATGATCCTTGGCTCCATATCGCCTGTTGTCATGAGGATTACAACATACTTCCCCTTAAGTCATCTGACCTTCCCATAGAATCTTTGGCGGCAGTGGTGGAGGAAAAATTACTGCTTGCCCTACACTGAATTCATTAGAAGGTTTTATAATTAAAACTGGACAGCTGGGTTACCTAGGTTGGTGAGACGCCAGGAGGTTTCTATTTGAATTCCATTGTAGTTTTACTTGGGGTAAACAAAGCAGCCTCTTGCATGAATTGCCTGGAGTTAACTGGGCAGCTAAGGTGACTGAGTTTAGTTAAAATGAGATACCTTTTCAGGGAAATGAATAGTGAGGAGGGGCAAAAAGGTCATTTTCCCTCCCCACTGGCCCCACATGATACTCATGGAAGTTGTCGCGTGATAATTGCGAGTTGCTGCAATTAAGTTACGATAAGGTAGCTTTTAGGAAAAGAGCTGTGTGGAGGGACAAGATAGCCCTTTTCCCTTGCTGTCCAACTGGTATTGCATGGAAATGGTCGGGTGACTACTGTTATTTCAGAAGTTATGTTTTTGTGTTTGGTGATGGCAGGTATTATATGGATAAACTTGTCAAAAATATTTTTAAATAATGATCATAGTCGTACAAGAAAATTGGCTATTCTCTAAATATCACATGTTATCTGAGTTTTATGGTGCATCATGCATACAAGGAAAATCTAGTTTTACAATTCTACATGTTTATAGGCAAATCTACCACACATATCTTTCTGATCATTTATTAAACAAGCATGTAGCTGTTGACCCATTGATCTAACATGTGAAAAATGAATTTTACACCCTGCATGCTTAATAATTTCATAGTTTCTTTGTCAAGATAAATTTCATGCATTGTGAAGTTTCTAGTTTGTGCTTTGGACCACAACTCTTGCAGCTATTTCACAGTTTTATTCTTTCTATTCGTGTCCTTAAATTCTCTTCTGTTCAGTTCTCTTCCCATGCATTTAGTGGATAATGCATTTCTCATTTAGCATTTGAAATTTGAAGTTGCTATTGTGCTCATTTTACTCAGTCTACCGATAATATATGGATTTAAATTTGCACCTTTTTTAAATTGTCATTCAATCTCATATGGTTGTCTATTCTTTGGCAGTTGTAAATTTAACCCTCATTGACCTGCCTGGAATGACAAAGGTAGCTATAGGTGATAATCCTTATCCTTCCTCTTGTTATGTTAGTACTAAATCAAATTTGTTTTTCCACAGTGACCAAAAGGGTTTCTCTATTTATGCAGAGGGACAGGCGGATAGCATTGTTCAAGATATTGATAATATGGTTCGCTCTTATGTTGAAAAGGTACAGGTTATATAATTCACGATGCTGAGAAATTTGATTTGCCAAGGAGCAAACTTGCTCAAACCATGCGGACAGGGAATGAATATTGATAGAATCTAGAATAATTTGAATATTACCATGATCTTAGTTTATTTTGTTCCCACTTCTTGTAATTGTTTTGTTTACTTCCATGCAGCCTAATAGCATTATCCTGGCCATATCTCCTGCTAACCAGGATATAGCAACCTCTGATGCCATAAAGCTTGCAAGAGAAGTTGATCCTTCAGGTATTGCATCTGGTTCTCCTCACTCTTTCATTTGACTGCATACTGCCACAGTTTATTACTTTCTTTGTTTCAAAAAATCAATCATTTGGTCAATACTACGATCTATTTTAGGTGAAAGGACATTTGGAGTTCTAACAAAGCTTGATTTGATGGACAAGGGAACCAATGCATTGGATGTGAGCTGTTATCCATCTTAAAAATTGTCCCATTTTTTTCTCCATTCTATCTTTGTTATCTGTTCATTATTTCATGATTCACCTTTTCATATGAAACATGGAAAACTGATAGGTTCAGTAGTATTGAATCCCCTCTCCTATATTGTGGGAACTCCCTGCATTCATTGATTGCCAATCACTACTTTTCTTGTGTTTAAGGTGCTTGAAGGAAGAGCATATCGCTTGCAGCATCCCTGGGTTGGAATTGTGAACCGCTCCCAAGCTGATATTAACAAAAATGTTGACATGATTGCTGCTCGTAGGAGGGAACGTGAATACTTCTCTTCTAGCCCTGACTATGGACACTTGACAAATAAAATGGGTTCTGAGTATCTTGCGAAACTCCTCTCAAAGGTATATTCCTGGATGATTCCTCAAAATTTCACTTCTTTTGGCTCTGTGAAATATCACTTGCAATGTTTTCTTGTTCAGCATTTGGAGACTGTAATCAAGGCACGAATCCCAAGTATTATATCATTGATTAACAAAACGATTGATGAGCTTGAAAGGGAATTGGATCATCTTGGCAGACCTATTGCAGTTGATGCAGGGGTAAGGAAATCATTGTCAAGTATCTATTTGAACTACTATTCATTGATACAACTCCTGTCCTTTCTACATGTTGCTGAAAGAACAAACACATCATTATCTTCAGGCCCAGTTGTATACAATTTTGGAGCTGTGCCGTGCTTTTGACCGTGTATTCAAAGAACATCTGGATGGAGGGTAATTGCTATTGCTGCAACGTTTTCATTTTTATTAGTTAGTTGAGAGACCTCCTAGCAGCAATGATGCAGAAGCCAACATGATAAGATGGGATTTTGATATTTGTGGGAATATCAAATCATTCTCACAACACTTGCATAATTCATGCAAGTGCCTAAAAAACTTGAAATTTTGAGACAGTGCTTGGACTTTTTTTTTTTTTGAAAAATGGCTCAAGTGTTACTGATATACTTGTTTAGTATTTTAAATATCTGACTTAACAATCATTATTTAAAAGTAATGTCTGGGATCTATTTCAAAATGTGAAGTTGATGGAGCACTCGATTGCTGATGCAGGTGGTCAAAACGTCTTCTTGATATTTTCCTTAGATATTATCAGATCCGAAAAGAACTGCCTTCTGATGATATGATATTTTTTCCGTTTTGGGGAAATGCATGGGTTCTAATTTGAAATCTAATATGCTTTTGCCTACTGTTGCTCAGGCGACCTGGAGGAGATAGAATATATGGTGTTTTTGACAATCAACTTCCAGCTGCACTTAGAAAGCTTCCATTTGATCGCCATCTTTCCCTGCAAAATGTGAGGAAAGTTGTGTCTGAGGCTGACGGTTATCAGCCTCATTTGATTGCTCCTGAACAAGGATATAGGCGCCTCATTGATAGCTCTCTTAGCTTCTTTAAAGGCCCTGCTGAGGCTTCTGTTGATGCTGTAAGTTCTCTCTTCCTTCCATTTTTTTCTGAATGTTTGTCTTTGCATGCCTAATAGCTTGATTCACGCTTGCTTATCCCTTGCAGGTGCATTTCGTATTGAAGGAGCTTGTTCGGAAGTCTATAGGAGAAACCCAGGTGAGAAATTCAGTGATATATGTGATTCTAGTGTTATGGGACTTTTCATTCCTCAATTTAATTTCCATGTCTGTCATGGATCCTCTTATTTCTTCTATGAAATTCGATTTTTTGTGGTCTTATATTTGCGTTAGGAAGCTTTGCCTTTTCTTCAGCACTTATATCCTAGTACAAATGTGCATGACTTTTTTTTATCTTGTTCAATACCATGCTATTGACCCTGAGATCTTGTGATCTATGATGTCTTTAAAGTGTCGTAGGCAACCTTTTCTTTCAAAAGAGACCTCAAATTGCCCATCTAATTTTACAAAACTGGAAGTATACCTTGCATGTCGGAATGGGCCAACAACCAAAATACACTTCATGTCTTGTTTCTTTTCTTCTCTTGCTAGGTAAGTAAATGATATATTAAAGAATAAATGTTGAAACCTTGCTGAGGTTTTTCCCTCCAGTTGAGAAACTGCTATTCATTTGTCCAATTGTAAATCCTCCGTTTCCTTTCCAATTGAGAAATTACTTTTCAATTCTCCAACTGATGTGTCCCCAGTTTCTGCCACAATTCTTGTTCTCCTGATCAACAACCTTAAACACTAATCATCACAGGTTTGTATAACATAGATTCTATTTTCTTGTATTGGTTTAGTGCGATAAAACTCAGGAACAATAAGTAACCAATGATTTTTTGAGATGACCACAAATCCCGGCTGATATACATATTAGAAAAGTGTACCATAGTCCTGTGGGGATCTGTACATGGCACTCTCTAAGCTACAGCCACAATAAGCCTCCATTAAGAGATGATTGGAGATTAAAGGCACCGGATTGAATGTCCCTTGGGCTCCATTCAAGTTAATCTCTTACCATCCATTTGTGGGAATGGTTGATGTTTTGGTGGTTGTATCCTTGAATACCATATAGCAGTCTATTGGACTATACCTCAAGAATCTAATCAAATTTCCCCATAATTTCCAGAATGTGGGCGCAAACACACGTGAGCATGCATGAGAGTTTTAACACAAAGAATTCATTGGAGAGAGAGAGAGAGAGAGAGAGAGAGAGAGAGAGAGGAGGGAGGGTAG